CTGTCATCACCAAGCTTACCATCCTGGGCTGTGACTTAGCCGCTTCGATTGTATCTACGTATCAATTGTAGCGATTGATATCTCCGTATCCGTGTTATTGGAGGATCTTGCTATTGATCTCGCTATCGGTTTGGCCCACTTGAGCCCTCACTAGCACTTGTAGCGAAGTTTACTAAGTAAACACACTTTTTTCACCATTTTCATTATGCCCTCGGTCTCGACCTGGTTGATAGCCGCTCAGGCTCTCAACATCACGGCAGCTCAAGACGTTGGCAGGTATGTTTACCAAAACGGAGCCTACCGCATTACCTACGATGTGAATGAGGAGCATCAAGTCAAGTTCACCTTCTGGGTCCCTCCTCCACCTGGAACGTGGTCGCCAGACGGATTCATTTACACTTTCCCTATCGGACCGGGCGAGGAGTTCACCCACGGGCCGTACTCCCTGTCTGAGTTGGGGAGTTCTACCTACGCCATCGACTTTGATGGAGCCAAAGCTAGTGCTCGTGATTGGTATAAGTCGATCGAGAGGTTACTGCTGAGGAACTCCGTCATTCACCATGATCCTAATGTGCCATATGGCGGTATTCAGTCTGGGGACTTGACCGTTCTAACTTATACAAGCGGGGACTCTATCTCAACCTCCTTCCGAGACGAAGACATCGACCTCATGAGGGTCGGGGGCGAACTGACACCGGGCGAGTATGTATTCGAGGACGACGAAGCTCCACATTTCGAGATTAGTTATGTGATACGCCTTGATGGGATCGTGGGCGTACAAATTGCGTGTGGAGGGACTCCGACTACCCGCTTCCCCTTCAAGCTTGTACGTCGCGGTGAAGGTCTACCCTACGTGCATTACCTTCTGGAACCGGTTGGAAGATACACCTTGGAGGATCTCCGTCAACAAGTGAGGTATGTTTGCCAACGCCAAGATTTGGTTCCTTCCGACGGATCACACGTGGTCTTCGCCACTAAGAACACAGTCTACGTCGAACTCGGAGGAGTTCGTTTCGGTTTGACCAAGGTTGAGTGATGCACGCCCTCAAGTGACGGGATGCACTCGAACGTTTCGCACATGGGAGAGTATTTTTGCATCAATGCTGATGCTATCGCGCTGTCTGTTTTTTCTATGATGCACGCATGTGCATCAACATGAGTATCGCCGGTAGAAGTTCTACCGTATAACGCATGCGCATCTTATCGACCTCCTGATGATGTACGTGCACTATTAACTAACCTCGTTATTTCTGGTCTATGCTCGATCTACTTAAGCTCTCTCATTGCTTCATATCGTCAGTACGTACTTCCATCTTTCCTCTATGTGTAGTGTTGCCAGTCGGACTCGGGCGAAGCGGGCACGTACCACCGGCCTGATCTGGCCCAAGATTCCCCTTAGTGGGAGTATCAAGAAAGTTGTTGTCAGATCGTCGGGAGGTGGAAGGCAGCGGAGGCGATTGTGTTTTCGAGGAAAATGTGGGCATTCTCCGCACCGCTCTTTGCCCAACCCTTTCCCACGTCTCCCTCAGGTTCCATGTGGGGACCAGACCATAATGCTAAGTGTTTGGAAGGTAAACTGCAGCAGCGGTGGCGAGGATGACGAGGTGGTCGCGTATACTAGACCCATCCTGCTGCCAGAGGGTGGTGGAGGAGAAGGAACTTCGATAGGGGACC